ACTTCTTTAAGAAGTGGCATAAATTGTTTTTTCCTCCTTTCAAGACAATATGGCATTTTACTTCAGCTTGGTTCCAAATTCTAAAGAACATTTAAATTATTGTAAATCATTCCTCCTACTGTATTCCATTATAGAACTATTGAAATGTCAATAGCCAAGGCACTTTGAGCATTACACCAGGGACTTCGCTGTTACCCCTCATGCCTAGTGATAACACACTGCAGAGGAAGGAGTGCAGTGTCAAATCAACACATATCACTACTTCAATCAGAAATCCTGTTAACACTACCTTTCCCCGAAAATCATTTCAGGGAGATAAAGTAGGATGACTGCAGATACATTTTTTAAAAAATCTCTTTTCAAAGCTGTATAGAAATGGAATTCACTTCAAGAAGCCATCACAGACTTCAACCTGTTGAATGTGAATACAGATTTTAGTTCAAGTTTTTGCAAACTTTGGTGTGCACGTCATCCAAAGAACCTAGCGTCTTTGAAAGTGCTTTTAAATGTCGTGGCTGCATTGGGAGAGAGAAGAATGAAGCATTACATCAGCCATGGTGCTGAGTATGTGTATGAGTTGAGTCACATTTAACTTATGGGACATAATGGAACTGCTGAGAGCAGAGACAGAGAACAGTAGTTCATTTAATCCAGATGCCTTCAATTGGAAGAGACCCTGTTATTTCATGTATTAAGAATAGAAAACACTGCCACTTAAAGTCTGACACACTGTCAACTGGAGGACAGGCTTTGATTTCAGACATGTTACCATGTGAAAAAGTGTGCATCTTAGAACTTAGACTGTACGGTACATTATTAGCACCGTTTAAATTCCACATTCAGTACAATAATACTGATAATAAGCCCTAGAGTGCACGACATGCTAGCCTTCAATTTTTTTTTTCCTTTGGACAGTCTCTTGTCTTTTTCAGGATTCATAGTTAGTCAGGATTGGGAACAACCCAAAAGCCAGCCAAGTAATTCCTGTGATGTCTTCCCTAAGAGGTTTCCTCAAATAAGTTGCCAGATAAAATACAGGAAGCCCGGTTACAACTGAATTTCAGTTAAACAGTGCATTTCCAGTATAAGTATGCTCCAAACAATGCATGAAATACATTAAAATTAATTGAGTGTCATCCTATATTTTTATTTGCTAAAACTGACAATCTTGCTCCCAGGGCAATTTTGACTGCATTTGGCCCTCATCACATACTTTTTCCTCTGACAAGCCTCCATTTAATACCTAATTCACTCCTTACAACAGCCCTGAGAGCGATTATAGCAGGTAATTTTGGAGTCAAAGAAGTGAGGTTTTCTCCCCAGACTTGACTGTCTCATTAGATTAATTACTGTAGACCTGAATTCTGCTCACAGCTTTTAACCCTCATACATAGTAGTTAGGGTTCCCAAAGATATAGACCACTGGAAAACCATGAATAGAAGGCATTTTTATTCCTGGATACGTCATCTGTGGGTTGGTCATCGTCATACCTACTCTAATAAAGTAATAGCAATGAATGCTAAGTTATTTAATACCAGAAATAACTGGCTTGTAACCCTTTAACACTTCCTTTTTAATAGAGAGAAATGGAGGCATAGGGAAGTTAAAGAGGTTGCTCTTCTCATGTTAAAGTCTAGGCCTAACCTCTTCTTCGATAGCTCTTACTGGATGCTGCTTATTAATCACTCTGGTGAAAGTAACTAGGCTAGTTCCTCTGCAGCATCCTTCCCATTAGATAAAGCCCCTCTCACTCATAAAGTAACCATTTTGTGCCTATATTTCCTATCTAGGTGGTCCCAGAGGACAATTAAAGGGAGCTGTCTGCTTCCGTGTGCTAGAGCCAGGGCCAGTCCCTGGCACTGAAGGGACAGGATAAATGGCTGCTGTATTAATAGTCACTGCCTTTCCCTCTGGGGATAGACTGAAGTGATCTGGAAGGTTCATGTGATGTAAAACTCCTCCATTAAAGTCTCCCCAAGGAAAATAGTGTCTTTTGGATAAGCCACTGTTAAAATCATTAAGGCTTATCTCTAGGAGCCAGGGCAGTGGCTTATAGCTACCAGGTTTCTTAGGTTGCCTTAGGGGAAGCAGAAGTTGACTCCAAACCACAGTACATTTAATTTCTAAGTCACCTGAGTGGCCCTTCTAGGACACAAGTCTCCCAATCAGAGCTTTTTCCAGAGTTGCAAGACTGAAAGCCCATTCAAAGATCAACTTCCTGGCGTTGCTAGGACAAGTCTTGTCGCCAAGACACTCCAGCAACAGAAAGAAGAAAAGGGGATAGAAGAAAAGCAGTTCTGGAGCAGGGCTTGCAAGATAGCCCTGTTAGTGTTGATGGGTTACAAACAGTGGACTTAAAGCAAAAGCATTATTTCTGTATGCCTATGAGCTCTGTCTAAACACATACACATGTGCACACAGGTCTCCCAAATGCAGTGCTTCTTAACGATAAGTGCCCCTCACAATTTTCTGAAGAGTTTGAAAAAAATTCCTAAACCTAAGCTACTCTCAGACCAATTAAATCAGAATCCTTGGGGTGGACCTAGGCATTAGAAATTTTTAGTGATTCCAATGGGCAGCCAGGATTGAGCTCGGCTGTTCCAAAGCAAACCACATGCTTCCATCTGGGGCTTTTAAGAGGGAAACCTCTCCATTTTAAAAGCCATATACAACAGAACTTTGCAAATATGATTAGTTCTTGTTTTATTTATTCCCTATTTCCCGAAAACAACTTCTAAGCGTTGGCACAACGTTGCCATCTGTAAGGCATATGACAATAACAGACGGTCGCCTAATAACCAGGGAGGCATTAACGTTCGCAGGCTCTAAATTATTTGGACTCATCTGTTATGATCTGCATCGGTGAGGCCACTTTATGCTTGATTTCTGTGTCTTGCAATGGCAGTACCAGAAGTGGGAAGGCCATATTTTCTGGGTTTATATTGTTCTTTGTCATCTTATTGAATTGTTACAAGATGGATTTATAACAGACCTACAGCGAGTATCAAAATGAAAATTAGTTCTTGAGTAGAAAAATAGCAATCCCATTTGACTTGCCTGTAGCAAGTGCGTCATATCTGCCTCTGCAAGGAAGGAAATGACTTCTTAATGTGGTTTTCTCCCACTAAGGAGAGTTAAATCTATGTGGCAAAATGTAAAACTAGCGTGCTGGCAGCCGAATTCTGAGCTGAAGATCCATGACCCTCATAAACATATTTGTGGCTCAGTTATATGCTAATGAACTTCATTTAGACTCAAACTTACCCCAGTAGAAATATAGCTCTGCTGGAGAGGCAGGCTATTGTTCCCTCCCTGTTTTGCCTTCTGTAGCAATGTCAGCTCTGAAACAAGGGGGAATTTCTTTATCTGCTACAAGCTTCCAGGGTGGGAGTCTCTGGGTTAGATTTAGAGTGGTTTTTGCCTGAGATCGCAAATGTCACTATTTGAGTTGATAAATGGTGGTTTTTTTGTTTTTTGTTTTTGCTGAGTCAGCAAGATTCTTTTCTAAGCCTGCAAAGTTTGAGTGACCACTGGCCAGTGTTAGAATTTAATGTAGTCCCCCTCAACTAGACAAAAAAGGCAAAATTTGTTGGGAATAACTCGCATTATTGCTGCCTGGCTGGTGATTTTTGACAAGTAAATGTAACCTCAAATTCCTGACCGCAAATTCTTTCTTCATAAGAGGGGGCTAAATATTGGTAGTACCTGCCTTATGTAGTGGTTATATAGTAAGGATTAATGAAAAAAATGCACCACAAGATAATATACAACAAAGCTACTGCCCTTTGCATCACAAATAGTAGTCATTATGGATGTTATTAATTACTATGCCTCAATCCCTTCAAATGACTTAACACAAAATACCACACTGGCATCCTATGGAGAATTTATACTTCTAGTATTTTTTTTAGATTTATTTAGTTATGCATGCAATAGCTGGGGTGAGGGCCAGTGGTATGGGGGTGCTGAGAGGATTCACCAGAGATCGAGGGCGGTGCAGAACAGGCAGACTGACTGAAATACACTGCTGAGGGGAGCAGCGGGAGAGTCAGGGGAGGTCTGCTGCGTCATGTGGTTAGCTCCCTGGCTGGGGATCAAACTCTTGCTGCAGTCAGTGGCTGCTGATAGCTTGATAGTGCTGAAACTCCATCCCTTGCATCTCCAGGGAGGCCCTATACTTCTAGTATTTTAGAAAGTACAGAGCCTCACATAGGAATAACAAATTTAGTTAATAAAACTGAATTGCAATAGAAGATTAAAAAAGAAAATTGAGCTCTTCCAATGAAGACCGTTTTTGAGAACATCCTCTCTCAGACAGAACTGACATTTTATTCATTCTCTATGTAAATCTGAGAAAAGATTTTTTTTCTAATAAGTATGGGACTCTAAAGAGGATTTCAAAATGATTCAATTGACTAAGACTATTCATTTTTTGATAAGTTGTTTCCTCATTTAATTTCTTTTATTGTTTACCTGTGTGGAGACTCTTGATTGATACACTTATTTCTTACTGAGTACTCAGGGCTCTTGTATTATTATCAATTTATTTTGGCTATTTTGGTTCATGGGGAAAAAAAAATTGCTCAGAACTCATATCAGAGAGACAAAGCCAAAAACAATATAGAAAATCACAGGCCAGCTTGGGGGAATGGTCATGCGCGCGTATAAACTCAGTGACTCAGTCTAAAAAGCAAAATGAATGAGGTCTGCCAAGTATAATATGGTTAGAGTGTAGGGGTTATGGTAATGCCCCAACTTCCCCAAATCTGTGACCCTCAGTCTCAGCAAAGAGGCCACAGTGTGGCTTAGTATGATTATTTCATTATAGAAATTGGAAATTATTTCAATTATGAAACTTCCCCATTTTCAAAATTTGGCAACTAATTCAATTAGAAGACACACACCTCTCAGCCGCTAATTTGTGAAGTCTGCTTAGCCAACACTTGCTCAAGGAGATTCCAAGGATATTAATGAAGCTATTCCATTTTTCTCTCCAAAGCTCCAGAAACATGACAAAGAGGATGAGGACTCTCCCGCCTCATGGAGATCCGAGGAGGAGATGGCAGCAGAAGCAGCGGCGCTGCGGGTCTACTTTCAGTGATACAGGTGAGACTGCGCACTACATCACTGAGACCCCCCAAGGGACCTCAAGAAAGGGGCTCTCAGCCCAAAGGGGAACACAGAAAAGCAGCTGCTAACACCCTTGGGTAGTGGCTGCAAAAGACAAAGCATATAGGAAATCCTGACACTTGAGGGATTGATTCCAACTTCTGGACCACCTCCTTGCTCCTATATAACTCCTATTTACTTCCTTCTAGCCAGCACCCCCAGTCCGGTCCAACATCACCTTAGTCCTCTCCCCAGTGCTGCCTCTCTCCAATCTAGTCTCCATGAAGCAGCTCAAGATAGTTTGTAACTCAAATCTGATCATTTAAAAGGTCAAAATGCATTGACAGGCCCTCAGGCTCAAGGCCCTGTGAACCAGTGCCATCTACCACTGCCACTTTTTCCACTGTGCCTCTTATTCCCTGCTGCCTTTTGGTAAATTGCCCCTTGTGTTTGCTTTTTGCCTTGGCTGCTAAGAAGCTCAGGCTGCCAGGAAAGGTCAGGAGTGATTGAATTCTCTTTGCATTAATGACATTTAACTGCTGGAAGGTCATAGAGTGAAGAATCTGGTAGAAAGTTATACAGCCAATCTCCTTTGCAAAATGCATCTACAAAGCAAACTATACTATTTGAAGGGGCTCATGGATATTCTAAAATTTTTAAATTTATCTGGGAATGCTATTTTTTAAATATGTATTTATGCATACAAAAACTGGGGTGTAAGCCAGAGGTGTGGGGGGGGAGTAAGAGGATTCACCAGAGAGTGTGGGGAGCAGAAGAGGTAGATCTACTGAAATACACTGCTGAGGGGAGCAGTGGGTGAGGCAGGAGAGGTCTGCTGTGCCATGTGGTCAGCTTCCTGCCTGGGGATCAAACTTGTGCTGCATTGGCTGTTGATAGCTTGATTAGCACTGTCTTTAACCATTGCACCACCAGGGAGGCCCCTGGGAACCCTATTAATAAACTTCCTTAGTGATCATAGAACCCTGATTCATTTTAAAATTGTGTGCTTCATCTGGTGTTGTGTAAAATGTGTTTATATTATAAGCTGCTAATGTAGATCAGATACAAATTAAAAACACAATTAGTGCACAATTACTGGTAGCAATTGAATTATATAAAATTGTATGAATCACTTAGTGATTGGGATTTTTAACTAGAAAGTACATTTCAAAATGGAATACAATGAATATAAGTCTATTTTTAATGTTTAAAATGTTTGTCCAGTTTTTGGCCTTTTCTCCTCAAACCTCCTTTGTAAAGTAGTCTAATTACTTAAAGATCCAGTATCAACTCTCCCCCACCTGCTCAAGTGTGTTGTGCTCAGGCCTACCATTCTAGAAAGCTCATTTCATTCTTGTCATTGGCGTTTCAGCTCTGCATTCAGTTGCCTGAAGGGATATAGTGTGGCGCCAGCAGAAGCTGTCACTGATATTTTATTTTTAAAATTTACTACTATTCACCTTCCTTTTTTTTTTTTAGAATCAAAATTGTTTCCATAAGAACATAGGCCTACTGGCATGATTACAAACTTCTTTCTGTCCTATTCTGAAAACCAGTGTGTCATTTTGGAATGTCCCAATCAAATGGGGCTCATAGGCTGATTTTTTTTTTTTCCCTTTCTGGGTTTATTCTGTAATGGTACTTTTAGGTAGCATGAAGACAGCTGTAAGCCTTTCCAAAGCTTACTGAATTGCAGGCTTCTGTTTTAGTATGCATTCTCTAAATGCTTCAAGAGGATTGAAACATCTTACCCGTGTTTCCCATATGTTTTGCTTTGTCAGTTTTTGCTTCTGACTTGTCTTGAGGCCTAACATCTCTTGTCTTATAAGTCTTGTCAGAAAAATACTCACTCTAACTTACTATACAAACTATTGTCAGAGTCCCTATAGGTTTTGAAAATAACATTCATAACTCTTTAAGGGTCTTTGTTTACAGAATAAAGAAGTCACCTTCAGTTTTCCCAGCAGTCAGAATGGGTAACATGGGTTGCCCAAGAACACTGTAACTAAGAGATGAAAGGTTTAAACATAGGGTCCTGAGTTTTGCCAAAAGCATCAGCATTTCTTATAGTAATATGGGGCTAAATATATTTCCCTTTAGAGATACAGGGGAAAGGAAACATTCTTTTTTAGAAACTGACTTGTTGAGTTGATTCACCTAGTTCTTAGCAACTTCTGCCTCATTTCAAAATGATATAAAATGTCTATACACTGTTAAGGGGTTCTTGGAATTTCTGAAATTCATTAATTGATAGGACTTTGATGCAATATTTGGACTCACCTATACTTTAAAAATTACTCATTGCTTTTCTCAAAGTCATATAAACTTGATCTCTCCAAGATTTCCTGACTACACCCTCAGCAGCAAGTCAGTCTTTAGGCAGAATCAATCTGAAGACTTTCAGGGTGCTTACTCAGCTGGACTACACACTTTTCAGTGTGCACACAGGCAGATCCAATGGGACTCAGCCTTCCAATGATCACAGTAGCCAACATTACCAAGAATTTATAAGATGTGGGTCTTGTAACATTACCCCATCTTGCAGATGATGAGGAAACAGACTCAGGATTGTTACCCCAAGGTAAATACTTAGTAAGTGATGGCACTCAGTCTAATTCCAAGGCCATTCTCCTTGCCTGGGTACTTCCCGTCTTGCAACAAGAGCTCACTTCCCAGCCAGCACTGCTTCCCTGCCCTGCTCCCCTTGCACCCTGTTCACCTGGCCTCCTTGTTCCCTGGGAAGTCTCCCCTCTTCCTCTCCTGATGGCCTGCCTGGCCTGCCTTGTTCATGCCACCCTCCTGGCACTTGCCTTCCAGGTCACATTTCAGATAGGCAGCTGGAACCAAAAGCTCAGTCTTTTGGTTGCACCAGCTGACTCTGCTCTACTTGCAAGTTGTTCTAGATTGAGCTGATTCTTGCCTAGGCTGCCCACCCTCTTTTCTTTACCACTTCACCATGTATCTACGTAATATGACCTTGGGTGAGGACAGTGTTTCCCAAATTGCATTCATTTCCACTTAGTCATGATCTTCCCCATCTATGTACACCACCTAGGATGCTGCTTCCTTACTATTTACTTTATTGAATTTCACTTCATTCATCTTAAACTTTCCATCTTAGCCTCAATGAAAAATGTGTATCACTTATAATTAGAAGTATAAAAATAAATACAGAAGAAAAACCATGCTGATGAATCCCAGCTCCACATAGTTGCTTGCCTATACTATTGGGACTGAGATTCATTCTCTGTTTAAAAAAAAAAAAAACAAAAAAAACACAACCAGTACTTGGTCACCCTTAGAAAGACATTTACTTGTAGTACCAAACTGAGGTTCGCCATTTGACCTTCTCAAAAGGATTAAAAGAGAATAACCTACAGTGGCATTCATTGTAATCATCTAAAATTATCTTACACAGGCAAGTGATTCTCATCTTTGGAAAGTGGGAGTGGAGGTCAGAATTCAAACCCAGAATAAGCTAACTCTAGACTCGTTCTGCCAACCCCCTCAGTCCATGCTCCCCATATCTTTTAACAGGAATATAGAAAGGATAAGATGGGGGTGAGGGATCAGACTTAGCTCCCCTATGATGAGAGGCTAGGAAGCCTTGCACAATACCCCCCGTCTCCCGAATCTCCAGGCTAGTTGGTTATATTTAAAATCACCTTTGGTCTTGACAGACCAACTCCCAAGGGGTGGGCTGCCTTAACATTTTGTTTGCCATTATAGTCTACCTTAACAACTAACACTGCAGAGAATGTGCAAGCCTAGACCCATCAAGGCCCCATATAGGAGAAGGAACTATAAAAAGCGATGAGCTGAATGTTCTGTGTGGAAATACCTAGCAACCCATCAGTAAATAGAAACCCAGATTAATCCTCAGCACGACAACACTGGCAACAGGACCACAAAGATAAGCATTCCAAAACCATAAACTATTTCCTCAGCCACCAGGGCACCAACATTAGCTTGGTCGGATAGAAGAATTCTCTTTATCTCCCACCTTACCCTACAGGATGTTTTGACAGCTCTTGCACCCTTCGCCAAGCAGAAAATGCCTTTGCCTCGCAGTTTCTTAAGCAATAGTGAAAACGAGGCAGTGCCTTTTCCATGCACAGGAAAAGCCAACAGTCCAAGGGTTGCTGAATAAAGCTGCCATTGTCTCGCTCTCCACCTGACAGATCCCTGATAAGGTTGGCAACGCTTTGGTTCCAGGAATTCAACATCTGCCTTCTGCTTCAATGAACTAATGCATCGCTCCCTGCACACCGGGCTGAGTCCTGGATGGAGTTTTCACATTTGTTCTTTCAGTTTGTGATCCAAATCATATTAGATGACAGTTGGTCTGCATTTCTTATCTAACCCTTCATCCTTCCTAGAACATAATCATCCTTTATTTGGGTATTAAAATCCCAAATATTTAAGTACTGCAGCCTCTATACAACCACATTAACTTTCTTAATTAGTTTTAAAACAATTGTGTATTGTACTAGTCAGGGAAGATTTTATCATCTCCCTACCCTGTGTTGGAATCGAGTGGGGTATGTTACTTGCAAAATATGTAAACTTCACCCCTAGCTCATATGAAAAGTCAGAGCAGGGCAGATTTTCATACCCTGTTGTGTCAGCAAACTGTTTCTTTGCAATTCATCAAACGCTCCTCTCTGCGTGCCATTATTCTATAGATAATTGGTTGCTTCTCGTTTACTCATAACAGAGTCATGCAATTTCAAAGCAACTGAGTCAGCCCAAAATAACATTATTAGTAGTTTCAGATATACTGTCAAGGCAAAATTTTGACACTGGGATTTTTGAAAGATCATCATAATTTCAGCCACTGGACCACACTTACAATCATAGAACAACGAGATGAATGAATAAGGACTGTTTGCTTATTTTGCACATGTTCTGGTCAATGAATTGTACCTTTTGAAATCTGCCCTACCAGCTTAGAAAAATTCTTAACTTTCTCAGTGGGTCCACTGTCAGCACAGCAG